TGTCTCCTTACAAGGCTTCCTCATCACCAATATCACTTCAGGCTCTTCCGATCCCAGGAAATGATGCCGAAGTCTCTCTCTTTTCTACGACAGAACTTGCCTCTACAAACACCACAGCAATCGACACCCTGACCGAATCGGAATCTTCCCTTCGAGTGAAGAGACAAGGAGGCGGCTGCGGCTGCGGTTGTGGATGTGGCTGTTGTTGTTGTAGGCCACGGTAAGGTTGCATTCACAAAGTAGCTCGCTTTACTGTTTTACGCTCGTTTTATCTCACCTCCTTCAGCTGCTGCTGTACTTGCTGCCGAACCTGTTGCTGCACAAGGTGTTGTACCTGTTGCCGACCATGTTGCTGCTGCTGCGGAGGTACACTGTTGCCATCGATCATATAAACTACTTAGCGACCCTACTAGCTTCCCCTTTCAGGTGGAGGTGGCGGTTGCGGATGCGGATGCTGCGGTGGCTGCGGTGGCTGCGGATGTTGCGGCTGTGGAGGTGGTGGACGTAAGAGACGTTCGATCCAGAACTTGAAGATCAAGCTCGCAGACAAAATTGAGAGAGAACAGAGGTAAGCTTAATACTCAGTTGTCACCGCTTAGACGATGCTCAAGTTGCATTCGTTTTTTCAGAGCCGCTCTACTCGCTCTACCAGTATCTTTTGAGCAATCCGTTCAGCCCGCCCGACCTGAGGAACTCGTTCAGCCAGCTCAACCCGAGGCACCTGTCCAACCCACCCAACCTGCTCAGCCTGAGCAGCCAACCCAGCCGGTAGTCCCTGCTCAACCAGAAGATTCAAAGGATCTCATAGAGTTTCCATTCTCGAAGCCGGACGAAAATATTCCAACTGAATGGCCTCAACCAGTGTTCGAGTTGGTTACTGAAACGTACGCGTAGATACATTAGAATGCCTATCATTATTCTATAGCTATTTAATAAAATATATATGTATTTGTATACTATTAATAAATTTCTAGTAGTTTGAGTAATGAAACAACAGAAACACATCTATTCAAACTTCATGCATAGGATGACGAGGAAATTTGGCCTAAAGTAAGCTTCATTTCCAAGGATGCAGGTGGTTGTCAGCAGGTTGAGTAGGATGGGAAGATGTCTTGGGTTGAAAAAATTGTAAAGCCTCACAGAACGTAGAGTAGAGGAAGCAATGGAATTCGAAGTTCAAGGGATGCAATTGCAAAGAGCGTCAAAGAGGGAGGTGCTGGAAAGTGACCAAAAAAGACTTCTCCAGTGCTGAGGCAAAAAAATGAATTATATTGAAGGTCGTGGCAAAATAAAAGGCGTCTTCTTTTCCTCTACTACTACCCTACCTTCTTCCTTCTTAATTCTTTCCTTTTTTTCCCTCCATCCTTCTTCCTTGTTCTTCTTCCTGAGGAAAACCAAGGAAAGAACTTGCCTTTCTCCTCCTCTCCCTAGAGGAAGAGGAAGGAGAACGAAGGAAGAAGGAATAAGAACGAAGGAAAGCAGACGAAGAAGACTGCAAGAGTAGTAGCGCGCCACTTAACATCACTTAAATTCAGTCCCTGATGTAGCATGCTAACAAACATTCTTACCAATCTGATTCGAAGATGGGTGGCCTATGTTGGCTAGGCGTACGTAAAGAAGTGCCGTTACTCGTGGCGGCTGGCCAGGTAGCGCACTGAACACCACGGGACATTGAACAGTGCATTGCACAGCTTCTTTGCCACCACGAAGAAGACTCTAAAGTAGTAGAATACACTTGGTAGCAGTTATGTAGTTCCATCGATGAACGTAGGCACTGTACGGGATATAAGGTGCATTACTTGAAGAGGCACGTAGCTAGCACCCAAATAAATCAACGACTCTGCATCCCAGGTTTCAATGCATAGCGAATTGAAGCTGAGATAGTTGATGAACTCATCACGGTCGTCGTCGGTTCGATGCTGCCGATCCACAAGAAATTTGGCCTGAAACAATGATAAAATGATAAACCTTCAGGCGTAGATCAATACCGTATGAGGGAGGCGCCCCCGCATTCCACTTCCATTGAAAATCTTAGTGCCGTATTGAAGGCGTATGAGGCCCATGCAACTCGCGGTGCGCAGCCGATGTACAAGTCAGTGCTTTCATCTCCCAGAAGAGCCTGTTACCAGTTAACTGACCCCAGGGAGTGGGAGACTTACTTATCCTAGGCAGATATGGATCCTTGATTCGAACCCTTGACCATGAGTTTGTGCAGTGCGCCGCTTGCCACTACACCACCGCTGCCCTGGTTACAATAATGTAAGTTCGAAAATTAAAAAATGACGCTGGAAAACATTGGTTTTACTCGGCAAGCTTTTCCTTTAATCCGATTTCATAACTGTGCACAGGCAGGTCTTCTTCTGTTTCTATTCAACTGCTTTATGACAGTAGTAAAAACGATCCACTGCTGTGATTATTACTGCGTCCGATCGCTTACTGAAGGCCTACATTCGTGCTTCAAGCATGTGAAAATCACTACGGAATGTCTAAATGTCAGACAAGGTCAGAGCACATATGTGTAACAATAGGTGTCCTGGTCTGTACCCATCTAATGGTTCTAAGAAGGCAGTTGCTGTATGAAGGACGTTCTAAAATTGGATAGGAAACATACCGAGAAGCCTGGTCCTTGTTCCGTTTGTTCTTCACCGTTATCATTCAATCGCATCAGAACATTGGGCTCACCATTAGTATTGTTGGATTCCGATAGCAAAAGCCTGAATCGTGAAATCTTCAGTTTGTAAACTATCTTTGCGCGAAAAAGAGGGTGAATTGTCTTTAGTGAATAAAATTTCTTCAGAAACCTATTAATCACAATCAGCAAGCTTTTTCAGGAGATTCACCATAGAAATGAGTGCGGTCCTTACCAAAACGAACGACTCAACGTGAACTTACTCTTCCGTGGTGATTTGCTGGAATCGATAGAACTGTAGTGTGAAGAAAATCTTCCGTACAGGCGGTTGCTCATGCTTGTGCAAGCTAAAACCACAAAACTGTCGATATCATGAAAAAAGTTTGTATAAGATGATGAGCAATGATTGGTTTTCCCCATTCGAAGTTGAGGAAACACATGATTAACACATTGGTGGCGATGGCGCTCCAGAGAAACAGAATCACGATAATTCGCTGCTTTTTATTCGCGACTGCAGCCCAGATCGAACTCGATGTTCCGACGTTATCACTTATTGAAACCATTTGTAGATTTTTATTTTTCGACTATAGCTTTTAGTGGTCATTCAATCATGGTTTCAATTATGCCCAGAAATCCTTTCAAGGAATTTTCACGGACTTTGTATTCAATAATAGTGAAGGTGCTAGTGACCAAACGTCTTTTCAAAGCATCTTATTTTTTGTAGATTTTCAGTGAACAATGCGTGAAGCACTGGGCACAGCAAAACGTCTGCGTCGATGAATTACTACCTCCTTCAGGGGAGCGATTTATTCCGAGCAGCTTCTCTGCTTCAAAAGGTCACAGGTATGGTAAAAAGGTTAAAGTTAAAGAAATAAAAGATTTCCTGCGGCCATGGAGTATACATATGTCGATGAAGAGCCATAACCAAGGATAGTTAACCAAGGAAGCCGAAGCGGAATCCACCTCGATAGAATTCTGTAGATGCACCGCCTGACGTTGTAGCTCTGAAGTCTTTTTAGCGAGAGCTATGCTATACTATAATCTTAATTGACTAAGCAGGGGGTACCGCTTCAGGAATCTGTGGAAAGATGAATGGTCGCGGTGTAGGGAAACTCCGACTTCTATGGTTCAGTCAGAATATTTATAAAATAAGCCGTGTTCGAAGACAGAGCTTGAACGATCAAATTTTGAAATATCGTTAAAAGTTTTGCTTACCATTTAAAGGCTAGAAACTGTACAATAATCTCATTTGTGTTCAGTCCATCGTTGACTTCAACGGCTCGACTGGGGAGAGTAGCTGTAACGACATCCACCATCACCGGTGGATCCCCTTCGCGATCAAAAATGCCAGGAAACTAAAACATTTCCTTTATCCGCGTAAGCAAAACAACTATTCAGAAACACTGTACAGCCAGGTACCTGTACGTTTGAAAGAGCTGCATAAACAGATCTCGGCACATTGGAGATTCTGAAAGCAAGAGAGCGACAATAACGATGAACGAAGTTAGCTCGAAGCTTGGTTCCGTGTGTAAGGAACCAAGAGAGATATCAAAAATACGTTCAGCCCACAATGAAATTTCAGAGTCAGCCTGAGTTATTAGGAGAACGAATGTATGCAGAATTACCTGGCTTCCTTCACCGGTAATGCATAGTTAATCGGAAGATTTTGACGCGGTGACTCTTGCTCAATAACGCGATCTATCTTCTGATGGAGAACCGGAGTTGTGATCGTTTTCGGCTTCTGAGCACATGTTAAGAATAAGATTTTAAAGTTTTTCACCCATTTAACTGTACCATTAGGTGAGTTCAAAACCACTCATCTCAGAATTAGGTATAAAAATTGCAAATTTGACTTGTAACGAGATTTCAGAGGGACCTGTCGCGAAGAGCTTGGTTACTACCATCGCGGCTTCCCAATCCGAGTTCTTCTGGACTAACCATTTGTTTCTTTGGAGTCGGTAAAAAGGAATCACATGTATGACGACAAAGTTTCTGCTTCAAACTGTACTGGCTCTGCTCTGGTCAATGACTGACAAAGCCCGACGAGGCCATCTGTAAGTCTGGTGCTAGGGCCATACGCTTTTGACTAATTTATTACCTCTATTCTATATTTACTTTTACGTTCCTCTGAGAACACTTCGTTCACTTATTGAAGGTGTATGCTTAAAGGCATGGTTCACCTATAAATTCGTTAATCATATTTCCCAGCAGGAT